TAACATACCTGCCCGTAAGCTGACGTGGGTTCAACTTTCACCCTATCCAGCCTCTCTCACCAAGGCTTTGCCCCCCCCCCCATCTCACCCATCTTCCATCAATCTGCAGGACGCAACCACCTTATTAATGTCTTACAACCTTCAGACCCAACCCGACCTGAACACCCTGCCCCTCAACGGTGGACAGAACCAAAGTCTCGATGTGCTTCCGGTTATGTTAGGCTGTGAGTGGAGGGGAAGGGGGGCAGGTAAAAGGGCCTGATACCCGGCAAGCTGGCCGTTACAGAATCGATAGGCGTGGGGATGCGTGTCATTTTTCCTTCATTATTTTTCCCGCCTACAGTATACTAGCATTTTTGGTGGCGTGGGTGGCTTGTGCGTAACTTTGCTCGCCTCTCACCAAGGTGACCACGGTTCTAATCCTGGCCACGGATCATATGTGAGTAGAGTTGTGCGTTGGTTCTCTCCTGTGCCAGGAGGATTTTTCTCCGTGCCCTCCGGTTTTCCTCCCTCCGGAAAAATCGAATACTTTCGATTTAAGGCTGTGCTCCTTGGCCATATGGGTCGTTGTGGCCGGCAGCCATGGGCGAATTTACGTGCCAGCGGCCCGACCACGTTGTAGTCGCGTCCTTCGCAATTCAGCATCCCAGCTGCGAGTAAGGATGATTAGCCTCCCAAATTATTAATTATTATATTTCAAGAATCCGTGGGGGAAATGAAACGAGTGGACTTCACCATCGTCTTAGTAATATTTACTGGTCTTGTTCAATTATTGAAAGATAAATAAATATTGATATCAGTTTTGTTGCGCCCCAGGGGAGGCGGAACCGGGGGGGGGGGGCCTGGGGGAGGCGTTTGCCCCCCCCCCCGATTTTCCCAAGTGCCCCTTTTGCGGCCATAAATGTGCCGCCTCGAACAGTAAAGTGCCCCCTCAAGATACAACAAAAATGCCCTTAAAGTATCTTACTATTTCTTAGAAATAACCATATCCCAATAATGGTATAGATATTTTTGATATAAACGAGGAATATGAAAATCAAGTCCCAAAACCCATACAATACGGCCTTGAAAGGGCACATAATGCATATTTAGCATATAATCGTTGGTTTTTAAATGCGCCCGCTATGTTGGAAGATGGTACCAGCCCCCCACTATTTGATTTTACGGAGGCCAAGTGTCCGGTGAAAAAAACGTGTCGACATTTCAGCACGGGCTTGCAAGTGCCCCTTTTTGGTGATGCCCCCCCCCCCCCGAGTTTCAAACCCCTCTCCGCCGCCGCTGTTGCGCCCTCCCATTTTCAACCCCTAACCCCGTCGACACACATCTGTACCGGGCCTTGAACACGAACCTCAAATTCAAGACGACAAAACAGCAAAATAACTATACAGAAATACAAAGTAATTCAATGATTTGTTGCACATATTTTTCAAAAATAGAGAAACGATTTTTTTAACTTTTTTTTAGTAAATATTCAAAATGTCTTTGCAATTCTACTTTCCGGAGAATTCGATTTCATTCTTCCAGAGTGTATTTCGTCGTATAGTCTGTCCAGGCCGTTCCACCTACAAGCCTTGGCTTATGTGAACAGCCTTATATTCTCCTATTCTACTCTTTCTCAACTTCGCTTGCTATTAATTATAAAATATTAATTTAAATAATTAGATTCAATTAAAGCATTATTTTTTTTTCTGGTGGTTATTACCTTCACATTTTTAATTGCTTGTTTAAATACAACTGTATTGTACTTACATCATCCAACTTTGTATCGGTTTATTGGAGAGTGCTAAATAAATGTCAACTGAATTGAATTGAATTGAATTAAATATTACAAGGGGCATGTATGTCCCACATTATCAAAAACAAGAGTTTTCAAAACATAGTTTTTTTAGAATTTCTATTCTATGTCTTATCACATGATATTACTAAATTAGTTAAGCAGTCAAATAAAGAGATATTATGAAATGTAAATGCACTTCAAAATAAACAACACCTTTTGTACAATAAAATAATCATTTGCATTAGAATAATAACTGCATATTAAAAATGCTCTGATAGTGTCACATTAACAATTAAAATTGCATTAAATCGTAAACAATCATTTCATCAGAATTAAACTCTAAGACCAAACTTTTAACACGTTAAAAATCCGATGAAAATAATTTTGGCACACAAGAACAAAACAAAAACAATAATGACATTTAAGAGTCATTGGTCCACTGTGGTGCAATGCAAACTCACTTCTTTGTTTGTTTGTTTTTAGAGAGAAAACAAATCCTTCCGAGGATTAATAAATGATACTGCATTGGGCGTGTCTCCGCCGGGTTGTCTCTTGTAGCGTGAATTTAGGACCCTATGAAATACAGAGTCATTAATATTATATATAGTGCGTGTCTAGGTAGTGATCATTAGTAGAGTGACCGCTCACGCGAGAGAGTTTAACCGATAATAGGGTGCTAGTAAGTCAATCACATTAATGTTTGTAGAAGACATCATTATGTAAGGTCGAAAGCAGCAAAGTCTTCATTCAAATTTTAGTCCAATTTTTCACCCTCGCTCATTCAAAAATGCAAAACTTTCTTTCATATGCACTTAAACACGGGCAAGCGTTTCGCACCCGGTTGAGTTTAGCGAAAATATAAAAATGTTTCAGGGTATCTTCATTACCTGCATAACAAGTATGCAATCTAGGTAACTTGTACATTGAATTCAATTTGGTAAATACGTTACTTTACCAAGGTTAGACATTCTCAACCAATACTAGGGTGAAGGTGTTATAAGTTTTCACAGGAGTCTGATTTTCATATGACACCGGAAACGAGCTTTTTTTTTCTTAAATGAAGTTTGGATGAGAGAAATTTATCGGGAATCAGTATTAACCTGAGTGTCTGAGGAGCATCACCATTGCCAGCTCCGGGCATGGGGGAGGGGGGAGGGGCCACATTACCAGCTGGGGGAGGGGCACACCACAAGAAAACACACAATTGCAGATAATGCTTTTAGGCTTATGTTTTTTTTGCCAATGGGGGCTTGACATTTGCTCGCTTTGTGGAGACCACTATTTATGAGGCGCCCCCTCTATTGATGAAAACTTAACTATTAATGAAAACTAGTTTTATTTAGCGCGCCCTTTCTCGAAATAAACTTTCATTAGTTGTTTGACGGTTTCTTGCGAAATAGAATCTCCTGATGAGTAATACATCAAGACCGATTACTGGCCAAACTTACAACTTAAAACATCTGGGCCTGGTAGGCTCGGGTTATTGCGTGTGTCATATTTCTTGGACGTTGACTTTCTGTTTTCATTCGGTTTGTATTTTTCGCGTTTAAGATACTATATTTGTTTCGGTCAAACATGTATTATTATTTCATTGTTTGACAGTTTCCCCATAATATTAAATATCATAATGTTACGCAGTCATCATGACATATCACTGGACGAAATTCTAATTTTGAAATACAGTATTAACTCGTTTTGGGGGCAAAGAAATACTACATGTATTCAATTAAAATTTCAAACACCATGCGTTGGATATCTACAATCATGAGTATTACTAAAAAACAATCGGGAAGTACGTGTAGTTATCACTTATGTCTTTGGGAGTCGATTTACAGGTCTTGGGGTGCAGCCCTGTATTAAAATTCTCAAAGACACCAGTGTTAAATGACCATGCTTCAAAATTCTTGTAAAAAATTCTCAGAACTCTCACGGGTATAACTGCACAGACAAAAAGGTAATCAACATGTCATCTTTTATTTTATTTTCCTTTTTGTGTGTGGGTTGACCATTGACTTTTCAAGATATTCTCACCCAAAGAAGGCGACCCCTATTTTTTCCCAAAGTGGAACAATAGCCATCTTCAAAAACGATCCTGCCACAACATGACACAATAGCGCCACTTTCGAGCCCGAATGCATCCAAAATGCTCAGAATTGGAAGCCCCAAGTCCGGGCCAGAGGGTTCATTGCCTTATCTCTTCAAATCCCCAATTTTATGGCTCAAGAACTCTCTAATATAGAATATTTTGAGGGTTTAACTGTCTTTCATGACCTCGGCGGATGGGTTTAGGCCTAGTTACCGGTGTGCACCCTTTACCATCCTGCATGTGCGGGATTTGTTTTCTCTCCCAAACGTCAGCCGCATAATAGGTATACGGTGGGCGTTTAGGAATTTACTTTTCTAAAAAAGAAAATATAAATTAGAAAAAAAAAATGAATTCGAACGAAATGAAATTCGGACCTTATTTCCCTTCAGCTTTGTTTTGCTGATAAACCCCTCCGCACGAATTCCGCCCCTGCACACATCCAACCCCCCCCCCCATTCACGTGGCGATGACACTGGCCCTAACATACCCGGCGTTTGTAAGATGAGCGTGTCAGGAAATCGTACAGCTCCCCCCCCCCCTATTCAGCCTCTCTCACCAATGCCCTTTCTCTCATTCTCACCCATCTCCAGGGGCGGAGCACGGTCATTTTTATTGTGGGGGGGGTAATTGTTTTGAAAAGGGCACTTGCACATCCGTGGTGAAATGTAGACAGGTTTTTTTCTCCGGACACTTGGCCTCCGTAAAATCGAAAAGCGTGTTGGGGGGCGGGGGGGGGGGGGCAACTGTCGATGGGGGCGCTGTGTTAAACCGACGATTATGAGCACAAACGGCCAATATATGGTGCTTTTTACGCGATACATGTGCCAAATTCCGAAAAAAGTCAGCCAAAACGGCATATCCCGAGAAAAAAGGGCACCTTTTCTTTTAAATATTGGCACTTGATCAGAAAAAAAGATACTTCTTCTTAAAAAAAGGGCACTCTTTTCAAATGATTGAGGGGTAAACCCGTTGAAAAAGGGCATTTGAATGGAAAAAAAGGTAGTTTTTACAAAATATTGGGGGGGGATAAATACCCCCTTACCCCCCCCCCTCCCCCCGCTGGCTACGCCTGTTATCTCCCATTAATTTGCGAAACGCAACCACCTTATCTCTATCACCCTTCAAATCCAGGCCAACCTGAACACCCTGCTCTTCACAGGTGGATGCAGAACAACACTGTCGGTGGGCTTCTGGTTGTGTTGGGGGAGGGGAGGGAGGGGGCAATGATACATGGGCCTGACATCCAGCATTTTTCATTTCTCGTTTTGTTCTGTCTACATGTTTTAGCATTTTAAGAATCTGTGGGGTAAATGGGATAAGTAGACTACACCATTGTCTTAGTGCCATTTATTGTTCTTGATGAATTATTGGAAGATAAGTAACAATCAGCATCATATTTTGCTCCCCGCCCCTCATCTTCAATCCCTAACCCCCTCAACACCACTAATCATTCATCCTCCACGCCATCCATCCTCAACCAATGTTAACCCGGCCTTTCATTAACACCGATCCCCAAATCTAGAAGTCAAAACAAACAAAAATGGACAAAAATACAGGTAATTAACTGACTCTGTTTGCAATAATTTGTTATACCAAAGGGATTAGAATTGTTATCTATAATCACAGATTTAAGTACTTAATAAGAAATTATTGTGTTCGTAAAAATCAGACTGTGATTTGCTCGTTTATTTCAACGACAATATTTCTCTGCAATTTTACTGTCTTGAGAGGAATTCGATGGAATGTATTACGAGTGGGACAAGGTTTTCCACATTGTTAAAAGCTAAATGTTCAATTAAAGTAATTAAAATGTTCAAAATACAGTTTTTGAGTATCTATATTCGATACTGATTACATGTTATATGATTAATTTCTGTGCTTAAATTAGGTAAGCTGTTAAACAGAGCACGTCCTCAAATGTATACTTGGGAAAAAAATGTTTCTTAGAATCAAATATATACTATAGAATCATAATTGCGTAATCTGCTGATATAGTGTCACATTATCAACTCAAATTACATTAAATCGTAAACAATTTCAACATAGTGAAAGCTCTAAAACTCAACTTTTAACATGAACAACAACTCAATTATAAATGTATAACATGGGATACAAAATAAAGTGTTTAACAAAAGTTGAGAGTTCGTGGTTCACTGTGGCGCAATTTGAAACTCTTGTTTTGTTTCAAGAAAAAGTTTTCGAGGTTAAATAAATGATATCACCAGACTTCAATTAATCTCTGGCTGTATACGGTATGCGAAATGCAAATGAAAAAAAAAAAAAAACAATATTTGTTAACAACAACAATATATTTTAATACATGCATTTGTTACTTCCCAGACAGACTATTGTAACGTTTTATGTTTTTTTCAAACGATTACCAGTTTAAGAAATAACAACAAATATGCGGAAGGAAGGGTCGTACGCCCGTACTTCAGGAACTACGTTGGCATTCGGTTACGGTGCGGAATGAATTCACGATTCTTCGGTACTTTTCAAACTTATCGGCCATGGTGAGGCAGCGCTACGGTACTTCACAGAGTAAATATCAGTTCATGCGTTTAACATTCGCACTAAAAGCTGTGATGGGGTTCAGTTTAACCTTCCTAAAAGTTCGTCCAAAGCCTGGCAAGGCATACGGTGACCGTGCAGACTTCCACGTTATTTGAGCAAAAAATATTGAGGCCTCCCACCTCCGCTTATTGAACCCAGCCTATACCAAAACCAAACACAGAAACATGCAAACCCAAATCTTGACCCTCGCCCAACCAAACCCAATCCCAAACTCACCCAACTGTTTCGATCCATCCGTGTACAACAGACTTCTTTCCTTAGCAATTACAACCTTAGGAGGGCGTCACTTTCTTGTTGCCCATGATAGTGTACTTATAACAGAATTGTCATTTTTTTTCCGACACTTGATCTCGAATTATTGTTCTCCTCAATGTAATATGGGATGTTTGTTTCTCGGTGGGCCGCTTCATTTGTTCTAGCTCCTGGGAAAAAAATTAGGATCCCGGACTACCTGTTTATCGTGAACGAATTATTAACTATCATACAACACAAACTGTGTGAAGCTGTGAGTCACCCTGATTTCCCATTTGAAGGCATCTTTATGGCCAAGTTCTTAGCAAGCTCACTATTGACCTAAACTTGTTTTTCTTTATACTTTTTAAATTACTACTTTGCCAATGTAGATAAGGCTGGATATTACTTTATGGTATTAAAACGATTTTATTTTTTTTCACAAAATATTAATTTGGTATAAATAACTGTTAACTCGCGTTCACGTCAGTCTGCCAAGCCAGAATTGGCAAGGGCTACACTGTGCTTCAGGTTAAGATATACTAACTCAGAGAATAATGGACATGTGTGTCATTGACACAAACATTTACTTGGCTTATGCTATTATTTTTAAATTATGATAGTTTTCAACTGGCAATTTGCCAAATAGACAAGGAACTGTTAGGAACGATGAAAAATTCACTAATGACCCACGACAATTCCTATTTGATTCAAAGTTAAATTTCTTGAACTACATCAAACAGTTTTCTCGACATGCTCAACGCATCATTCGTGTGTTTGGTTAGAGAGTGTTAACTGCTGTTCTTTTTCACACAAACACTGGTTCTATCTGTCTAGTACCGCAATTATCTCAGCTTATTCCTCGAAATGTCATATGATTCTATCAAAAAGTTTTATATTGTGTTCTGAATGGTTAACAAGGTTATGTTTAAATATGTAATAATAATATTGTAGATTTTCTGGTACTTCAAAGGATTTTTTTTAATTGTTGGTAAAGTATAAGGAAATTATATGTATTTTTCTACTTACATCCCAAACGTCTTGAATCTGAGTGGGAAGTCATATTACTGGTTAATGTTTTATGGCAACTATTCTTTACTAAAATACATGTATAAATAATATACAATGTGCTCAATTTTAAATAAAATAACAGGGACTCCTGAACCCAAAGGGAGATTGGTTGCTTCAGTTAGATTAGTATTCATTTTGAGTTCGCGTTACGCAAGTCCATTTATACATTATTTTATAATACGTGCATTTGTTAATTCTCGATTAGATTATTGGAACAGTTTGTTTCTTATTTTTGGTTCATCCGAGAAATATTTATGAATTTGGAATTTTTCAATCACGGCTTAAAATATTTTCTTCTAAAACTGAAACTATTAATTTTATCTTATTTCTAATGATTTTTTAAAAGTATGTTTTGATGTTTTGTAAACCGTTTTCATATATCAATGCTAAACATGTAGTTAAAATTAATCATGTTTATCATACCTGTTAATGGTACCCATAGAAGACATTTTGTCGTCATCAAGTATTACTATTATTACAATGAACATCATTTCTGTTAATTCATTGGTTATTGTTTCGGCAAAATGGAAAGCGAATTTCTTTTTTTTTTTTTGGGGGGGGGGGGGGGGGGGGCACCACTGCTCCAGCATATTTATGCGAGGTGATTATTTATCAATTAATTAATTGACTCCGGGAAAAGGAGGAAGCCGCTGAATGAGGTGTATTTACCACTATGCACCTTACCGTACATGGTAACATACACCGTGTCTCCACGCTGGAGACTCAGCACCGAGCTTCCAGACAACTGACCTCGTTGATTTACTTCACCATGGGTGGAAATCACCTTGTCATTGTTTTTAACAAGATGAATTTCAAGGGTACCGCTGTTGCCATACTTAAGAGCAGAAAATGTAAATACGTAGGTGCCCGGCACACTACATGTGAACGTACCGGTCTCGGGATCGAAACTGGTACCCGGCAGAAGCGTCTCGGTCTGCTGGAAGGGCAAACGGGTGTCGTGACTCGTAGATTCATCCGAGTGGCTCGTCCTCACAGCGGTGAATGCTACCCGCTGGTTTGAATCGTCTGGTGTCTCCCCTGGCTCACCCTTCTGACCTTTGACACCAGTTTCTCCGATTCTTCCAACGATACCAGGTATACCTCTGGGACCTATCTTGCCAGGCAGACCAATCCCATCATCACCTTTAGACCCAGTGTTCCCAGGTGCTCCCCGATCACCCACAGGTCCAATCTGTCCAATCTCACCTTTGTGACCTGGCTCACCCTTGTCGCCCTTTGACCCCGGCTGACCGTACGGCCCCATCGGTCCTACTGGCCCAGGCAGACCTGGTATGCCGGGTATTGCAGCAGGTCCCTGGCAGCACTGCTGACACACCTGAGACGCAGGACCATCACCATCCGAGGGAACCGGCCCAGTAACGGAAGCTCGGAGCTTGACAGAGTTACCCAGAAGGAGGGCGATTGACAGAATGGTGGCCACGCAGATCTTCATCTGTAAAGAAACCAATACATCAAACTAAAAACAAATCAATCGAGAATGGCTAAAACAAAAATAAATCAATCAATAGGAAAGAGTAGATAAAAATATTGAGGTAAGATAAACTGAATAATTTGTCTAAAAGACATTTCTGACTTTGAGAAACAATTAATAAGAGAATGCGTTCGGCTTTATTATGACAGCGGCCTTTCTGAGGCCAAGGGGCTCAAAATGCATGAAAAGCGATTTTGTTTGGGTCAACCCTTAGAATAGAACCTGGAAGCTGACAGCTGGTGGCGCGCTTCCGGACCCCTCAAAATACGAAAAATATAGCGTCTAAAAGTCGTAGTTTTGAAAAATTGGATCATTGGGACATTTATTCTTAAGATAATCACCCTCCGTAAAATTTTTACTAGCATCTCAAATAGAAACTGAAAATCCGCATGACGTGAAAGAGAAAAATCGTGCCAAAAAATGACATCTTACTTCCAAAAAGAGAAAGGGCAACCCAATGTAAAATGCCCATAGAAAGGTCGTATTTAGGGGGGGGGGGGGGTTCAGGCGCTCAAAAACAAATGGCGCGCGTACTTTTAGGCTCTATGGGTGCAACTCTGCATTAAAATTCCCAAACACTATATTGCTAAATGCCCAGATCTCCAAGTTCACAGTGACCACTATTTTGTGTAGCGCGCCCTCTTTTTAAAAAAAATGCTTTTGACAAAATTTACGGGAGTGCCCAAGGCCTTACGGGTGCAACCTTGCATTCAAATTCCCATAGACATAAGTGCTAAATGTCCATGCTTCAAAATTCTTTCAAATATACTCGAAACTCTCAGAGGTATTTTAGTCCATTTTCACTTTCGTTGTTTCATATATCACGACCAATCATCAGACAACATTTCAATTCAATGCAATGTCTTTTTCTGTAGATATTCTTCTCCACAAAGAGTGTTTATTTTTGTTCAACTAAAGCCGACTTCGGTTGGACAGATCTCCGCGTTCACAATGACCGCTATTTGAGTAGCGCGCCCTCTTTTGGAAGAAAGTGCTGTTGGTAAAATGCGATTTGCCAAAAAGCCCAAAACCTTACTGGTGCAACCCTGCATTAAAATTCCAATAGACACTAGTGTTAAATGCCCATACTTCAAAATTCTTTTAAAAAATCTAAAAACCTTCACAGGTATTTTAGCTGCACATAAAAATAATGATCAACATGTGATCTTTCATTTTATTTTCATTTTTTGTTGGGTTGACCTTTGACTATTCGAGAAATTCTCACCCAAAGAAGACTACCCCATTTTCCCCAAAGCGGAAAGGTAGCCATCTTATAAAAACGATCCCTCCACAACATGGCCAAATAGCGCAAATTTCGAGCCCAATTCTCCCAAAATGCTCAGAATTGGAAGCCTCAAGTCCGGGCCAGAGATTCATTGCCATATCTCTTCAATTCCCCAATGTATGGCTCTCAAAACTCTCTAATATAGAATATCTCTTGGGGATAAGTTTTATTCATGAGCTAGACGTATGGATTGAGGCCTATTTACCGGTGTGCACTCCTCTTGATGCGTTTGTTATTATTTGCCCGCCGATACAAGTTCGGGAGGGGACCGAATTTGAGGGGTTTTTTTTCCAAAGTTTAGTTTCGGGGGTGCAGTAGGGTGGATGGGTTGGTGCGGGGGGGGGGGGTAAACATCTCGACCCTTCCCTGGTCCTGATAGAGTCATGAATTAAACATCAACACACCCACCTCGATGGTTTGTTCTGCAGTTGAAGATCAGGTCCAAAAAGAGATCACAAGGAGTTAAGTGTAGGCTGAAAAAGAAACCGGTAATGATTATACTTGAGTAAGGATTAACATAATTTTATGATCGATTCTGAATTGATTGTATTTTTGTTTCCTTTTCGATAAATCAATATTCGAAATCATGAACATTTACTCATTAATAAATAACGCTATCATGATTAGAATAATGGAGGCTTTCCTGGCCAAAGACGTCCAGAGAAAGCAATTTGTGTTAATATAGCATTGTTCAAATTCTCGTTTATTCTCTGACTCAGTAAAATCAGCATTCCATGTAATCAAAGTAAAAGGTTTTGATCAAAACTTTTAATGAAATTCATCTATCAAGAACAAAGGGTACCGGTAGATCTATTTTTGGGGTACTAGTAAAACATTAAATTCAGCAGTTTTTTTCTTAGAAAGCAAATTATGTGAGTCTTACAGCAGTACACTTTTATTTAAATAGCTTTTTCCGTCCAACTTCACACCATGCTCATTCAACAATGCAAAACTTTCTTTCAAATTCTTCGTACTCGCGTGAAAAGCATGAAAAACACTTATCAATGCATTAATTTTTTGAGCTTTCGATGTCACTCCAGCTTGGGCATTCAATTTGATCACAGGACTGTTCTAGATTATGTAAAAGCAGCACCATTAATGTTCAATGAAATTGGGTAGTTGCATTAACAAGATGTTGTGTTATAGTGTTAAAACAGGTGAAAATGGCAGGACTTTTGAGAAAGCCGTATCAAGGAATTTACAGCCATTTATAATGCCAGTGAAGGAAATATGCATATGAAAACTTGCAAAGTTTCAAACTGATACATGTAGATAAATACATTTGGAACACTCACCCATTCAATACTGTGTACAAATAAAGTTTATTGTTCAAATTCGCCTATAGGCCTACTCGGTGCAAAATGGAAAGTAAACAAATGAAAATGTAGAAAACAGTTCGACCACAAGCTGTTGTGAAACATTTAAACGAAATCGTAAATGCTCTAACTGCGACCTAATGAAATGAACATGCTATGGCTTTAGCACTTTACAATTTTAAAAGTTCTGATATGCATATTTCCTTCCCTGACATTTATAATTTTCTAAGAAATATGCGGACAGCAGAGCTAAAGGACCGAATAATTTCTACAAACAACAACTTTATGTATTTGTTCTACAAATGAATCATGCTCGAAAAGCAATTTGAACTTGAAGAAAATTGTGTGCATCATCATGATCCGGTGCGTTTGTATTTGCGCCCTCTAGTTCATTCCAACCAGTGACACTTTAAACCTGCAACGCTTGCAGGTAACTGATCAAACCGGAATGGCGCACCTGTGAACTAGCAACTTGACACGGTTTAACCAGTTCAAAGGTACAAAGAATATACACAGTATTAATAACACAAATAAGACAGGCATGTTTTAGTTGTCCGGATTTCCTGTATGCATACGTTCTTCCGTGACCAATTTCCGCAGCGTTATATTAGTTTGAGTGACCGCCGGGAAAACATGTGAGTGCATCGCACAGGGATTTCATGTTTGAAAATTAAAAAAATACAATAAACAGGGGACACCAGCAAGAAAATATAGGGGGTTATTGATCACAGTGATATTATGGGTAAAGGTATACTTATATGTTTTCTTTTAACCAAAATGTTAACAAAAAGGAAACAGATTAATTCGTCTGAAATATTGAGAGCGCGTGAATTTCAATAATAGCAGGGAACTTGATGTTTAGGCCAAGTACACTCTTGAAAACAAATTCTACTGGATTTGCCTAAAAAACAGTCGAACGTGAATAGCCATGTTTATTGACAATAATCACTTCCATGAATCTATGGTGTGCTATCTCTAGCGACAAAAATCAAAATTTGTTTTTCAGGAACTAAAGAAACCATCAGGCAGTTTGGACAATTTTGTTGTGAAAGTGCAGAATGAAAGCAGTGGCGTAAATATGGTCAGACAGGAATTCCGTTTTCCGAACAAAACATTAATGGCACTAAGTTAGACTGAACTGCCTCAAAACCTTCAGTAAGGAAAAAAGAAATTAATTCAATTATGAGTTTCTTTCGAAACCAGGAACAATTATTCACTAATAAAATCAACGGTCAAACGATTATTTGTAGTTTCCTGATCGGAATACGTCCAGAAAAAGCAACATGTTTTAATCTCGCTTTGTGAAATTTCTCGGGGAACTGAATGTTCCCTGAGATCAACATTAAACTTATTCAAACGCTTTCATTACACTTGTTTTCAAATTCATTATACCAAAAAAATCTTATGTATATTTAAGCCATTAGTAAGTTGTTGAAATGTTTTTGAAAGCATAATTGTGTGAATTTTAAAACAGCAAATTCTTCATTCAAATAGCTTTTTTGGGTCCAATTTTACACCTTGCTTATTCAGTGATGAACACTTTCTTTCAAATTCGCTTAAAAACGGGCAATCAGTTTCAAACCAAGTTGATTTTAGCGAACAATCAAAATATTTAAGGAAATATTCATTATACGCCTTAAAAAGTGGCAATTGAAATTGACGTTACTTTGCAGTGAATTATTGTGCTTTGGATTTCAGTCCCGCTCGGGAATTCAACTTCATGCATACGTTTGCCAAAGTAACACATGTTCAATGAAATTGGGAGGTTTAGCAAGATCAGTGGCGGATCCAAGGGTGCGGAGGGGGCGCCCTCCCCCAGCAGTGACCCCAGCAGTGACATGAAAGATCTCGTCCACCCCCTTTTCCCGGCACAACATCCACCCCAAGCAGGAAACTCTCTGGATTTGCCCTTGAAGATACTGTGTGAAAGTGTTGAAACAAAGTATAACATGACAGGCCTTTCGATGAAGGAATGTAAAAAAAAAACACACATGCATATCAGAACTTAACAATGTTAACCCTAAAAGGGCCGGGTTATTTTGACCATCTCTCTGCCGGGGGCAGGGGGGGGGGGGCAAATTCCGCCCCTCCTAAGATATCGGCCATTGAGTGACAGTACATCTATAAAGCAACCTATCATGAACATACCCAAGACATTT